TCGGTCACTATACCCACACAGGGCGTCACTCAGGGGATTTTGATGCCCTATCTACGAAGAAACTTCCAGATTGGGGATGAGGTCCAGATTATGACAGACCCGAATCCCGGGTTTATGGGATGGGTGACGGCTGTTGAATCTGGAAGTGAAGGCGATCCAAAAAAATTTCTGTTGTCAACATTTCGCAGGAGAAAGAGGTAATGTTTACGGGTCGAGAGGTCCTTACTTATAGCTTACCCTGTTTAGGTTAGGACATCGTGTTCAAAGGTCAAATTTTATTCTTCGCCATTTGTGTGGACAACAATATGTCCAATACCACCCCCACCCCCGAACAGGCAGTATGCAATCGTCAAAACGATCAACAAAAAAAGGAAGCAGGACCCCGATGAAGGCCGGAAAGTCAGAATAAATGAAAATCCTAACCGCCGATATGAAGGCAAAGAAGTAGGTGTCGTTCACAGGAATTTTAAAGGTTACCACGGAAGAATCAAATCTACGACCCCGCAAGGGGACGCACAGGTTGAGCTGAATGCTACAGCTATATCCACAATGAGAGTCGAATGTTTTCCTCTCATCCATTTACGCATTCTGTAAGTTCATCTTTCATTTTGACTCAATTGACTCATAGTTTTCGCAGCCAGAAAAACGATATGCTTTTGGGGCCACTCTCTGAACTTCGCAACATATCCCAATTGACAGCTCCCACCGTAAAAGAAGCAGGACCGTCATCTCTCATATGCTCGACTCCTCTTCCACTCCCCACAGATATACCAGGAAGTCCAGCATGGGACCCTTCGTCAAGAACACCTCGGCAAGACGAGGATGAGGGGGACGAAACGCCGCCAGAGGCAGTTCCGTATTGGTTGGCCGATGAAACCTTCAAAAAGTACAAATTCAGATTAATAGTACATGATCCATCAACACGGTATGAAGGAGGGATTTACCATGGCAAGTATGCGCAATTCTTGTCCGCAATCACTTCAGGCAACCACCTAAAGGTACCCTCTTAGGGTAGTTAGTCCATGCCAATAAGACTACCCTATGAGGGGCCAATACCATGGTATATCCCACCTATTTATTGGATTCCCCTGGGGGTAGCCAGGTATTCCCTTGGGATTCCCCTGATATTCTTCTGGACTTCCATAATTGGCCTCTCCTGTCTTGGGAATCCAAGTGATGTGGGAGTCCCTTAGGAGTTGTTCCATGGGATTCCTTTAACTAAGGGATTCCCATCTAATTTTTTTCTGGTACAATGGGACTCCCAAGGATCAAAGTACCCAAGTTAATAACTTAATTCATGGATTTTTGTTTAAATGTCCATCTTATCAGCATGGGGAGAGAACTTGAATAAATGAACTGGTATATTTCATGTACATGCTTTAAAAGTAGTTAGCACTTTCATATATATTTAATCAATGATAAGGAGAAGTTCAATTGATTTAGGAAGAAGGTTTATATATGATTTGAATTGAAGGCCCCAAATTTCACACTGCTTTGACAGCAGCTTTCATTGAGGATGTTGATAGAAGGAACTACAAACCTTCACCTGCATTTGCAATGCTGGTTGGTGCTGCACATAGATACTAACATACTACAGGTACTTGTAACTTACGCAAACAGATAGAAAATTGCCAAGGTGATTGTCATTCATGGAAATCAACCTTTGTAAGGATAACATACTACATACAGTGCATAGAACTCAGTAAAACATAGCAATCATATATCATACTTGAAAACATAAGGTAGCAAAAGAGATAACCAAGTAGACTACTAGGGAATGAAATATTCAGAAACTAGCGCCTTCCGTTTGGAGGATAACCTCTCGACGAATCCTTTGAAGAGCCTGGCCTGCCATTGTTTGGAGAGGTCGGGTGACCACCAGATGGGATTCACCATGCTGGCAAGGGAGCAACCTTGCGGATAGCGCTGTCATCCAGCTGCGATATCTTACGCTTCTTTGGAGGTGGCTCGGGGTAAGAAGCACCCATGACAGGATGTCCCACATCCTCTTCGTTGTAAGACCGCTTTGCGAGATTGCGAGGGTCTTCTACGGCATAGTGACTGCGTGCTGGGCCTGCATTGTATCGATCAGGATGACGATGGCCATCCTCATTGTGACTGGTACGCTGGTGGTTGAGTGGAGGTGGATTGGGTGCCTCATGGGTGTCACCACAATAATCAGAATCAATTTCATGGTAGCGACTCTGATTGTGCCCAGGGGTGAAATCACGGGTGTGTCGATATTCATCATCTTCCCTGCCAGTGTAAAAGTTTCGATTGTAGCCACGACGATCATGGTTCACCGGATCTGGCTGAAAAGGCTTCTTCATCTGTGGTAGAATTGCAGGATCCCAACATTGGTGAGTTTGTTCTCGATCATAAGGATCTGTTGTAGATCGAGGGTGAGCGGAGCGGGCACGGGAATTTATGGGTGCTCGTTGGTAGTCCTGACCACGATCACAATAATCTGCCAAAGATTGTGAACGAGGAGAGTGTGGACCGGAGTTGGTGGATGCTCGTGGGTAGTCCAGACCATGATTGCCGGGATCTGCTAAAGATCGTGAGTGAGGAGAGCGAAGACTGGAGTCAGCATCTGCTCGTTGTTGGTAACCACCGCGATCGCGAGAATCCACTGAAGTTCGGGAGTGAGGGGAGCGTGGACCGGGGTTGCTGGGGACATGTTGTTGGTAACCACCTTGATTACGAGGGTCCATTGAAGATCGGGACTGTGGGGAGCGGTTGCTGGGCACACGTTGCAGGTAACTTTGAGAGTGAGGCAAGGTTGGGCAAGGATTATGAGTTGGACGGTGATAAGGAGGGTTGGTGGCGAGTCCTGCAAAATCTTCCTCATCGCTGCTGTCTGTTCCGACCGGTTTGTGAGGTTTATGGCCAGTGGCTTTGGCTGACTTGGCCCAGACTTTCGAATTGTAAACAGTCAACAAAACCTTCCCCGTTATGTCTACAACAAGGGGAATATCTTGCTGTTTAATCAGTCGTTGCTTTTGTTGATCTATCATGTAGTGTTAGATGCAAGATAATACAAAAAAAAGGACATCAAGCTTACCTGGAGTCCACGACACAATTCGAACATACGGTGATTTCAGAGATGTGTCCGTATCAATCTCCTCATCATCACTAACCTGCCTTCCCCTCTTCCACTTATACTCATCAACGCGGGACTGAACAATCTGTTGGAAGAACCCCTCCCCCTTCCCCTTCCCCTTCAAGGTGAATCCTTCCTGGGGAAAGTCGTTCACAAGACCCCATCCAATAATGGTGACCTCGTTCTTGTACGCGAAGTCTGTCCATGACCAATTCATTGTAACCTTCTTCATGTTGCCACCTTCCTCGTTGTGGGCAGTTAAGATTTCGACTAATGTAGCAATGTTAAACGATGCCTTTGCGACAGTGAAAAGAAACAACTTACTCAGATCACTTCGCAAAAATTCACCAAGAACTCGCATAAGGCAATCACACTTATTCTCAGTGGACTTCGGCTCGACATGTATCAATGGACTGTTTGAGGATGCTGCCATTCGCTGGTCCATCTCTGCCATCTTGAACATCCCCTCGTAATCTCTCAGCTGGGTCTCAACTGATGACTTGTAATGTTCACGAAGCTTTTCGTATTCACGGCTACCACCCCAAGCCAAGCTTGAAGTTGAATTGGCATTGACGTCAATGGCAAATCCAAAGACTTGAATCCCAGTCTCCTTGTAAGCTCGGGTGGCCTAAAACACGTGTTAGTATGAGGGAGATAGGATGTTAAGAGAGCGATAACATACTAGTTTGATAAATGGCTCATCAACTTTCTTTATCACCTGTGGGAACTTTCCGTCGTCTCGCTTGGATTCCAAAAATGCCACAACAACACTGCGATAATAATCGAGTTGTTCCTTGAAATGCTCATGAATGTCTTGCTGCGAAGGGTTCTCTCCCAGAGAGTTGAGCTCCTGATTATAAAGCTTCGCAACGAACTTAGCCCATGCTTGTGCAGAAACTGTATTTACATCAGCTTCTAGCACGGTAGGGACATTGGAGATACATACCATCTTTTGTTTTCTTGACAATACCAAAGCGAGTGTACCAATGCTGGAAGGCTGACCAAGGGTTGAGACGATGACTCGTCTTGACTTCTTGAGCGACAAGTTGGAGGAGAAGCTTCATGGGTTTGTCGTATTCAGAAGCCAAGGCTTCAAGCTTGTCGAGATACTCTTGATGTGCTGCAAAGGCAGCCTCTTTTGCAACCTTTGGGAGGGGGACCTGATTTGTGGCGATGGGTATCCAATTCGTCATCAGCCTCAGCCTCAGCCTCATCATCCTCGTCGAAATTATTGGCAGCATCGGCAGATGAACATGATCGAGTTGACTTCTTTTTTGTGGGTTTGGGTACAGATTTGCGGCGATGGGTGTTCAATTCATCATCAGCGTCAGTGTCAGCCTCATCATCATCAGCGTCGTCAGCCTCAGCCTCAGCCTCATCATCATCAGCATCAGCCTCATCATCCTCGTTGTGATTATTGGCGGCATCGGCAGATGAACGGGCCATTTTGAGAAGGCGAGCGACGTCGGCAGTATCCTTCGATTTCTTGCTGACAGGCTTCTCTGACGACTCGTTAGCTGGATTCTCTCCATCATAACCGCCATCATCCTCAACACCAGAAGAATCATTGTCGCTGACAGGATCAGCATGGCCCTTGGACTTCTGCTGAGCTGTAAAACATGGAGGAGATGTTGCAGCAGCAGCCTCCACACGTCTTGAAAGGGCGATACGCTCCTGACGTATTTTACGGGTGGCTGCGACAGTTTCCCCGTAATCAGATCCACTGGGTTCGCTTTCTTCAATATATTGACAGTCTTCCTCATCCAATCTAGGGTTTTGCTTATCCAGCAAAAGGAGTTGAGCCGTTGAGCAAGAAAGGGCCGGAGTTGTAGGCGAAGGGGATTCAGGATGATCTTCCAGTTCGGGATTATACTGAACATCTTCAATGTCAGCCTTCTTGTCACTGGCTTTCGGAATGCATGAAGTGAAGCCCTTGAAGATGGCACCATCGGCGTCTGGGCTGTCACGAATAGTATATTGCAATTCGTGATAACCTCTGCGGGAGGAAAGGAATTGATCGTCTTCGTCGTCGTCGTTCTGTGAATCTGGCACGTTATGAATCAGCCGTCTGGGTACGGGTCTCGGTTTTCGAGGCGGCTGTATGTCGCGAGTAGTAGTGGTGACATTACCGTCATTCTACATTTTCATAATCAGAAGGGCATTGGGTTGATAGGCAATATCTTACCTCTTTGTTCCTATGTTCTTTAGAATTCACAGGGAGAGTGGCAGCAAATTTTTCAGCAGTACCAACGGCCGCAGTCTACAATTTAATTTTGAGAGAGGCATCAAAGTGGCAGAAAGTTTCGTACATCTGGATTGTCTGCAGACAAACTCGTAGAAGGAGCGACGTTGGCTTGTCTGCTGATGGCATTGTCGATGTCCATTGCCACTCCCTGTTCCCTGGCTCTGTCACCTTCTTCGTCTGTTTCTCGTTCTTCGAGGTTAGGTCTCTCCGCGGCTGTCTACATTCTATAAGTGAGTGGAAGGCATTGAGTGAGACGAAATTTTCAGTACCTCGGCAACATCAACGACCTCTTCAGGTTCTTTTGGTTCAGCATCCACAGGATTCTACAATTTTCGCGCGTCAGAGAGGGCATTTGCATAGGTAGGAATCGTTCGTATGGAATCAGCTTTGACGGTTTTGTTTTTACGGGCACGCGGTTTCACAACATTCTACATCTTTGGATTGGTAAAAGCCTCGGCAGATAATAAGAATTCAAACCTTCATAACACGATTCCTCGTGCCAGGTTTGGCGCGGGTTTCAGGTAGTGGAATGTCAGGAAGGGTAGCCTTCCGGGAACGCGTTACACATTGGTCGTTCTGGGGCATATGAGTATACAGGTCAAGGTGGTATGGGAGAAAAATGGGGGAATCGGCTAAACCAACGCAGAGTATAAATTTGTCACATACCTGTAGCATTGTCTTGATGTGTGGGCCACCTCCATGGGCAAATCACAAAAAACAATAGATTGACAAATATACTAATTGATATCATCCAAACCGGTTCAAATGCATGTGGCCACTATATAAAATCACTAGATAAGTCGACGAGGAACAATGGCTGCACGACCAAAAAAGTTGAAGAAGGACTGGGTGTAGAAATGAGCCACTTGACGCTCCAATTCTTCAATTTCACTGACTGAATAACAACCTCCTGCTTTGTCTTCCGACGAAATGGATTCCGGAAGAGGTCCCTGCCATGTCAACATGAGTCTCTTGATAGCCAGAAGGTATGGCAGTCGGTCTTCGATTCTATCTGCAGCAAGCCCGATATTTCCTTTTGAAAGCTCGACTGCCAAAGTCGACTGTTCTGGGAAACAAGCAACCAGTGCATTGTGGGGGTCATGAATGTCAAAATTCGGCGATTTCGCACGTGAGTGCAAAGCTGATAGTTCGTGTCGAAAGTTCAAGCTAAAAAGCTTGTAGAGAATTTCTTGAATGATGTGACGTGGAATTGAGGCACCTGCCTCGAGATCGCCTTCTCCCCAGCACGAAGGAATGAGCCTGTCACTGGGCACCAGCTCAACTCCCACTTCACGCAAGCAATCACAGAGTATCTCCTTCAATGTTTCTGCACGCCGAGACGCTTTCGTCGGTTTGGAGGGATTGGTGGATTTGGAGCCAGAGGGCTGCTTTTCCTTGGATGAGTTCAGGAGATCGCGCCATGCTTGGTTGGACAGTGGCTGGGCTGACGACAATGCTGCACTAACACGATAAATGAAGGCGGTTCTGAGGCGCAGCCATTGATGAAGATATTGAGTTGTTTTCTCTTCCGTCGTGCAGCTAACAAATAATCCGGGATCAGGGAACATATACCCAACTGCGTCAGTCTGTTCAGTGTATGGTGATCAGCCAGCATGAAATTTGTCCCAGTCCTAGTCCAGTCCAGTAGGATTCCGGGAATCCAGTAGGAGTCCAGTAGGAGTAGGTGGGGGAGAGTAAAGAGCTCTCAAACACGAATATCATGCTCTCCAAAACTGGTACTCCAAGGAGTGGAATATCATCCTTGCTGCACACGATAATACTGGTAAGCCTAGTTATCTTGGCAAACAGATCTGACTCCAATACATGTTAGATTCACCAGAGTTATGATATCAACTTCAACTACGAAAGGACGAACTCCTGAACGTCCTCTCCCTATGGAAGAAGTCTTTACCTACAAGTACCGATGGTGCGTGGGGTCCCACCAATGAGGAGATTATGGCTGCTCGGAGGATTATGATGATATTCTTGAAAGTTGTTGGTTAGTATTAGTATCTATTGCTGGGACTCTGTCCTTTCTCGTCTTCATTCCTTGGGAATCCCACAACTATCTGTTGGATTCCAACTCTTTGTTCCTTGGATTCCCACCCTGGTCTTCTGCATTTTATGGGCATCCCAGCAATGTCTAGGAATCCCACATTAAATTTTGACAGATCGCTGGGAGTCCCAATGATGTTCCATTTCCTTTGTGGTTGTCCGTGCCAACATGTTTGTGAGTCCCACGACATACTTTGGAAGTCCTATGTATGTTCAACTTCCTCTATGGGAGTCCCAGGCAGTCTTTTGGGAGTCCAACAATAGGTTGTGTGTCATCCCTGGGACTCCCAGGTTAGATCTTCACATACTTCTGGAAGTCCTATGGATGTTCAACTCTCTCTATGGGAGTCCCAGGAGGTCTTTTGGGAGTCCAACAATAGGTTGTGTGTCATGCTTGGGACTCCCAGGTTAGATCTTCTGGAAGTCCTATGGATGTTCAACTCTCTCTATGGGAGTCCCAGGAGGTCTTGTGGGAGTCCAACAATAGGTTGTGTGTCATGCTTGGGACTCCCAGGTTAGATCTTCACATACTTCTGGAAGTCCTATGGATGTTCAACTTGGAGTCCCAGGCAGCTTTTGGAAGTTCAACAATAGGTTGTGTAACATTTATGGTCATCTCAGCAAATGGTGACTTCTGGATGCTGGAAGTCTCACAGATGTTCTGATGGGCTATGAGGAGTCCCATGCTCAATTTGCTTGGTGGGCCTTCCATTCAACACTTTACAGTGCTTTCCAGTCCTACATGATAATTATAAGACTTATTAAGATATGTTACCAGTTGATTTCCTCAATGAAATTTAATCCAGGTGGACACTAGCTTTCTCAATTATGTAAATAAATTGGTTTGGTGTACAAATTGACCATTCCAAAATTTCCACTTGATTTCCAGTCAGCTCATCATGGTTGAACACTGCATGTGAATGTACTAAGCATAGAGCTAAAATTCTTATATTTGAGTTTACCTTGAGTTTGCCTTAAGTCAAAAATGCCTTTGTCTCCAGATATATGATTTCTCTCCATAGCAAAGTTGTTTTACTCTCAAAATTATGAGTTAGTACCACTAGATTTGTTGGCTTGCTACCTTTCTAGTAAAACCCATTTGGAACTGATTGGGGTCTATTGCTTGGGAGTCCCAGTATAACAAGATAAATTTGGGTGGGAATCCCTTGGTTGAAGGAATCCCATGGAAGATATATTCAGGACTCCTACAATCCTAGGATTCCCAAGGACAGGAGAAGTGAACATGGAAGTCCAGGTAAATACCATGGGACTACCTGCCCCAGTCCCAAGGGACTCCAAAAAATAGGTGGGATATACCATGGTATTGGCCCCTCATAGGGTAGTCTTATTGGCATGGACTAACTACCCTAAGAGGGTACCTTTAGGTGGTTGCCTGAAGTGCCGCAATTGGTGGTAGTGTTGCGAAGGTCTCAATCAACTTCAAAACCCCGGAAATACCATTACAACATCTGCTGCCCCTCCATCCAACGATGGAGGGGGAACTCGTCGTGCCACTTAGCGGTCCGCTTCGCAGTCAGCTTCTGAAGGTCGCAAAATACAATGATGGTCGATGTGCTTTGAAAGATCCAAGAAAACCACTTCCGCGGCTCAAGAATTATGAACCACCTACCATGCAATCTGACCAGTTAGCCTCAGTGACGGGGATGATCTAGGGTATTCCTAAGTGCTGGAATGATCGTTTCTTACGCTTTTTTCATCGAAATTCACCCCTTGGCTCATAAATTTAATCTACTCTGTGTAAATATTCTATATCAACAAAAATTTGATACATTCCGGGCACTCGTTCAATTGCAGGTGCAACACCTAGTTCTCCCCGAATTCTTGTGAGCGGGAGTGTGTGTTTGTGTGGTTTGGCGTCTATTGGCTTGAGTGACTTTAGGGGAGCCTTACAAGGATCACGTGGAAAGATGTCAGGCTGCCCTAAAGTAGCTGTTGTCAAAACCAGCAAGGCGTTGGGTTGTTGCCTTTTTTCCTCCCACAACCACTCACTTGCCATGACAATGGGGAATCAATATCTTTGTAGTCCATATGTAGTTTCAGAACGAATATACAATAGATGAATGAAAGCCCGGTCAATTGTAATCGGCGAGCCTAAGGTCGTACAGGGAGTGAGCAATTGTTCCCTGGCTGGTCGACGTCAATGTTGTCTCCAGGGCGTGCCGTTAGCATATGGTTGGAACCCAAGGAAAAACCCGTCAGTGATGCTTTTCTGGTTGAACTAGATAATGAGATGAGTCGTATCATGGTCATTAGCATCTTGTTGGTTGATGTCCTCTCACCGATTACACATAGGTAGCCATCTTTGAAGAGCAAGTCAATGTCGTCAGCTTCGAGCATGTTCACCTTGTACTCGAGAAACGGCCACAGCTTCCATGGATCCAAAACCTATAAAGGTGTTTAGCAAGGTAAAGACTTCGGCTTATCATTCTTACGACGACTTTTCCGTTCATGCGAAGCTTTTGAAGGACTGTGAAAAGGTCGAGGTCTCCCTTGTCATTGCACTCGACATCAATCTCTTGTCTGTGACACCAGTCTTTTGGCCCTTCAAAGTGTCGTACGCAGAGTATGCGATGGGGAACTTCAGGAACACTTCGTGCAGCTTCGTCTTTGTCCACCAGGAGAGGTTCTAAAGGCAAGCTCCGCATATCGACTGCCACCATCTCAATACCGATCTCAATATCGGCTTGACTATCTTCATGCGTACCCAACACCTGAAATCGGAGTAAGTTTATTTTAGCGCATCTGGCAGTGTTATCTCACAAAATTTATCAGAGCATTCTCGTAGTCGGTTTTGGTAGGCTCCGCGTGGTTTCTTTTGGCAGTGGAGGGGACAGATAGTTGGAACTTTTGACATAACGACTTCAGGATATCCCTGCGAAACTTTTTGAGAGCAGTTGGCGCAATAATATCTCGTTGTAAGATACATTCAGCGTGTTCAATCGTTAGGCCTGCCATTACGGGTCAATGAGGGCATTGCGGTCCACTGACTCTTTAAAGGCTCAATTTCCATAGCAACGGCGACCATGTCCCAACTGTTGTAGTGTTTCTTGTTCTTGTATAACGACGGGAGAACAATGACAACCTATGGACTTGATAAGCTGCGACTTTTTCGCTCGAACTGCTCTAATGCCTCCCCATCGCATCCAACGTTACCACTCGCGTCCAACCACAAGGTCCATATTTTCCCCTGAGCGCTTGCTCACCCCTCCACCAAGTACTCTAAGATCTGCATTCCATTCACTTTCATTGACCATTATGATGTCACGGATCCGGACGAGCCCGAAACAGCTGAGTCATCAAGTAGCAAATCATACCGCCCAATTCTGATGTTAAAACCGCGAGGGGAAGTGTCCCAGGCTTACAACCTTCAGGTTGAAATGAAAGTTGACAACAAACAATTCGCAGATGTACAAGTAAGTTCTAACTTTTATTGATGCCTAAAGCCTCGCTGATCCTTACTTAGGGTCTAATCTCACGATTGGTTGCTGACCACCTAGAGACCAGCCTTTCCTTTAGGCAACAATCCAGCGCCGATTTAGATACCGTTTATGAAAAGGTGATTTAGCTCAAGTTGAGTCAATGTGACTAACAAAGCTGCAGGCACTTGAAAAATTTCCATTGCTAAAGCGGTTCAAAGATAATTGGGCCATCTCTGACTTTGTGAAGCTTGAGCTGAAACGGACTGTGCAGCAATCCCGGAGATCGCATAAGAAAAACTCAAAGGCGCGCAATTCCCCGGACAATGATTTCGACGACCAGTGATTGGGCTGTGATGATCCCGTGAGTGGCCCTTTCACCGGGATATTTGCTTGGTTTCCTGGAAATACTCTAAATCTGACTTGTGCTTCGTCTTTTTGGCGGATTTGGTGTCAGATTATATATATGTTGTTGTATATTTATGCGGACCATTTTCCAAGTATGGCTTCAATACGAATTTTGAAATTGTTCAAGAATATGTTCTATATACGGATTTTGTACTTGTAAGAGGCTGTGAAAGTATGATATATTAGGCTACATATTTCTTGTTTGTCCTAAGATTTGTCAACTTTTCGAAGGATCAAAACACAATTATAATAAATTTTGATGGAAATTTTAAAATGCGACAATAAGATTCGGCCCTCAGCGGAATTGGTTGTCAGACTAAAAATCTTGTAATGAGTCCGTCTTATCAGCAAACAATAGTCAAAAATAATTAATTTGTCCTTGTATCTGTCAATCTCTTCGCTTAGGTGTCTGATTGTCCCTTGTTTCAGGTGTTACATCATGTACTCCTCAGCTGTACCATAGGAATTCCTGCTTAGCTGCCATGAAAGAAATGAAATGAATTTTCATTCATTCACAGCACCTGTTTCATTCAATCCTGGCGACTGTTCCATTTTTTTATTTCATTTTACTTGGCCTTCTAGGAACTGAATGCTAACTTTTTTCAAGCACTGTGCAGCAGAAGGATGTATTAAAGGTTTACAAAATAAAAGAGGAGGTGGATTTTGTGAAGAACATGAAAGTCAATATGAGGATAGATGCTGTATCCGTGACTGTCCTCGAGACAGAGTTGAAAATACACTGGCATGCTGCTCTCACCAGGGAGAATGGAAGAAATACAAACTTGACCACAGTTGTTCAAGCTTGCTTGGAGTAAAAAGAATCTTACAAAGACCAGAGGAAAGAAATGCTTGGCAGCCTGTTCAGCCCCATGATGACGATGAGGTGTGTATCAGGGGTCTATGGGAATGCCCCCAGCAAGCTGTGACCCATGCCATAGGCACAGGTCTAAAGCTTGTTGACTCTGAACACAGCCTCCCCAACTTACCAAGCAATATTCTAATCAACAATTTGCCCAAGTTCTCAGTTGGATAAAGGATGAGTCTTACTTATAAACTTGTAAGGACTTATAACTGTTTGGTCAAATAGAAGATTTCATTTTTGCGATGGACCCTAAAGGTAGTGCCTGACAGGATTTATATTTTTATCTGGCTTTTATCTGATTGTCTCTATCAGTAACAAATAAGTATCCTTCTTTGGATGTTGCTCTGGATAAGCTGACAAATAATCTCCCTATTTGGTAACCTCCTTGGCTCCATGTCCCTCACTCCAGGTGTGTCCATTTCTATGAAAAGCAGCAATTCAACTTTTTCCTATCAAAAGTGCCTTATTTGTACTCCTCGTAGTTACTACCTCTCTTGTTATCCTCAAGCTCCATGAAAATAGTGTTGCAGCTATTATACTTTCCCCATGTCCCTTTGGCTGTGTTTTTTTCAAAATGTAAGAACAAACTACTTAACTTTCTGCTAATAAAACCTACTCACCTGTAATCTTTCAAAGAATTATCCTAATATTAGTGGTAAATAATTTTTCTGCATTAGTAGCCAGTGCAACTGGCAGCATTTCAGAGTTGGTGCCACATATATACAATTTATGAACCACAGCTCTGCTCAGTCCTTGATTGTATCATTATTCTGTGTCATGTGGGGGTATTCCCAGTGCTACCTGTACTAATCAAAACTCATACCCTTGGGGTGTCACCCTGGTGTCCTGACTTTCAGGCACCTTTTCATCTTTTTTCTGAGAGTTTTTTTCATTGCACTTCTTGTGGTTGGACAATAGTAGATCTCAATCCCATCCAAGCTGATTAGCTCTTTTAGAATATTGTGAAGAATAGATCCAGACTGTCAAGATAAAGCTTATCTTTATTTCCCAGCTTGGTCAACCCTTCTTTTAGGCGTCAAATCTTCTGCAGAGTGTTCATCAGAGGAGTCATCCAATATGACTAGCCTTGTGGAAATCACATGTCAGAAACTCTAAGTCTTGTGATGCACTCTTGGATTTCTATTTAAAATTGATTTTGATATATCATGTAACTGAAACATTATTGTGAAAAATATCATTAATCACATCTATCAATGAGTGAAACAGTACCTCCCTCTTGCCTGGACTACTTGCTCATTATTTTTATCACAGAAATATTCTATGAACCTGGGATGCTGTTACACCAAGTGACCACAGTGTTTCACCAGATGATTTTGAAGAAATTAGTTGAAATATAGAGAGAGACATCTCTCTGCATCTCAAAGAAAATCCAGTGAACAGCAGAGTATAAGGGGGTTGAGTTTTTCTGACATTTTGCAGCTCTCCTGTTTTCTCCATATAAATTCCATAGAGGTGTTGGTCAGTTTGCTAATGAACCACAGCATTCTCTTCCTCTCTAACCAACTTGATTATCTGCTCATCCTGCTCAGAATACCATTCCACAACTTTTTCTGCAATATGCCTTTGTGGATCAGGATTCCCACTGCTGAGGGGCACAACACCATAGAATACAGCTGTCAAAGAATTTACAAAATGCAGCTCTTGAAATGGCAGACACTGATAAGACTTGCATATTAATTACAAAAAAAAGAAAAAAACCACAATTTAGATGAAGATGTACTCTGGGGTTGGCATTGGATCCACCCGTAGGGGTACACAGAGTGTCCATGACCCTACCCTCATAGTCTTCAAAATGTGGCTAACATCAGGTGTGTCAGAAAAAAGTGTAATGGTTTTCTTAATTAGGAAATGGCCCAATTAGGAAATAGTGCGCACATCATCATTAACAATGACCACACCATGCTAGCCATTAACTCTTCTGGCCCAAAAAGCATGGGAAACAGTTCCCAACCTAAATACGCACTGTGCCTGACATCAGGTGTGGCAGAAAAAAGTGTAACACTTTTCCCAGTTAGGAAATACTGCACACATCAAAGCATATACTACACATGAGTCAATGCTATTGGTAAATATCTGTCAACAAACATCCCAATGAGTGTTTTCTGCCTACAAAATAATAGGTAAATCCCCTATCCCTTATATTGAAAAAAAATCCCAAGTTTTTCTCTTAAATATAGGACTCCAGACACCCCTTGTGGCTGAAGAAATATATCCTTAGTCAACCCTAGCTGCAAAATATATGCCAAGTCCATCCCAGACAAGAAATATATTTCTACATTGTGACAGTCACAATTCAGGGTCCAGACATAAGAAATATATTTACAGTCCATTCCAGTGAGGAAATATATTTTTGGGTGTGTGACACACTAGAAATATATTTAGTGTGACATTGGACAACAAAATATATTTAGGTAAAAGTGGAGATATATAAGCCCCAGAATATATACAATACCCTGACATTTAGTCCCATAGTATTCATGGAGTTTGCAAGACTAATAGTCAGCTGTCAGTGGGTGACTGAAGTGGGAGTGGGATTGTCGGGAAGTGGGATGTTTGGCACAATGGGGGTGTAATGTAAGTCAGTGGTGTTTTGGGAAGCTGGATTCAGTATAGTCCCTTTTAGGTAGCCAAGAATGCCTCAGCTGCTGGCTGCAATGGTAATGAGAGTTTTGAAGGTATCAAAGTTTGTACCATCAAATTTCTCTGTCTCCAAGAAAATAGATGGGTTGGCAGTTGACGACATTTTTGTGGGAGTGTGTGGGGTACAAAGATATAGGCTTTATGATTCACAAGCAGGGTAGTAAAGCAAGTAGCAAAATGGTGTCTGTAGTTCCTGTTATTAAAGCGCAGCCAGGCCCATAACCTGTAGACGTATGGAACTCAGAGTCAGACACAAGGTGATCATGACTGTGTATTAGTTTAGCCACCTGTAGATGTATGGAACTGGGGTAAACAGGTTGTGAGTCTCAGATGAATAAATGTAAGTAAAAAGGATCTCACCTCAGAGTCAGACACAAGGTGAGGATGACTAAGGTGAGGAGAAATAAAGTTTGTGTATATATACAAAAAGCAGTGGCTTGGAGTAAAGACTAGCAAACAGCAGGTGAAAGAAAAGGAGGAAAGAGACGTGATTGAACAAACAAACAAAGCATATGCATGAATACAGAGGAGGGGGAAGGGCATGATGGAGATTTGGGGGTTGGTGGTTTGACCTAGTAAAACATGCATGATGTATATGTGTGCAGTGTATATGTACCAAGTTGTAGACTATTTCTACACACACACAATGTAACTGTTGTGATATGTTTGATCAGGACAGCCTGTGGCAGTGTTGTTTGTTTGGCCCTTAGGTGCACAGGTACAGTAGCAAGACCAAACAGTGATGATGTGCTTGTAAGTGCTTATATCAAAGGTTTGTGTGAAGGGTCCCAGAACTTCTTTAAGCAGGTTTCTCGTATCCCAGAGGAAAAGGGTTGGTACCATGTATCTCTCTAGGACTACTACTTGCTCATCACTTTCACCACAGAAATATTCCATGAGCCTGGGATCCTGTCACACCCATGACCTGCAATTTATCAGGTGACTTTGAAAGCCAGTCAAGTGGAGGTGACTGAAAAAATGGAGAAATATATTTCTCTGTATCTCGAACAAACATTTAACAAACAGCAGAGTGCTCAGGGATCAGGATTGATGTTTATGCAATTTCTAAATGATTTTCTTCTGCACTTTGACATCTCTGATTATTCCCTACATCCTAGTGATCAGGTGATGGCAAACTCTGTAAGTTTTGATTTGATCTTAAATGAGTTATATTTACATCTAGAGTCAGTAAAACACAATCCCTCTTACTCATCCAGTGTTTATTGAATGTGTTCACTGCCTCCTTCACCATGAACTATTTCTTGACAACCCACTGGTCATGGATCTGTCACTGAATTCAGGAGATAACAGAATAAGCAGTGTTGGATAAATCAGCTCTGGTGTTGCCAACCTCCTTCCCTGGGAGAATGGTGTCCCTCCTGAAGTATTTAGTAGTGCCCTCTACCTTGTATGTCTGATGGTTTACCTCTTCACATTTCTAACAGTTTTTGTAACCACTTTGGTAATTGGTCATGTGACCATCATCCCAACATCCCATTACATGGACCCTGATAGATAAAAACATTGTCTTTTTCCAATTTTTTGGCTATTTTCTAGCTATTTTTGGATATATTACCACATTTGGACATATGCCCTGGACCCTGAAAACAACCCCAGGTGTCATCACCAACAGCGAGCACCACCCCCATTTTTTTCTGATTTTTTGGTTATTTTGTGCTATTTTTAGCTATATTACCATATTTGGAAATACACCCTAGACCCTGAAAACAACCTCCAACATCATCCCTAACAGTGAGCACCACCCCTAATTTTTCCTGATTTTATTGCTATTTTACATGTGAAAAAGTGCATGTTTCTGAAATGCACGCTGGACCCTGAAAACCACAACACCCTCAACTCATCATTGTTCCCCATATTTTATTGCTAGTTTTTGTTCAACATAGCCACACCTTCCATACTGAAAACAGTAGGACCCTACAGCCCCAGGAAAGCATTTACAAACAAAAAGAAATTTATCAATAATACCCCCAGTAGTGAAAAATCATAACACATTTTTCTTTGGAACTAGGACCCCAGACACCTCTAGTAGTCTATCCAGAGCCAAAATGTATTCAGTGGTGTGACAGGCAAGTTTGTGACATGTTAACCAAAATGATTTATTCAGTAGTGAAACCATGAAATATATTTAATTCAGAGTCTTGGCACCAAAAAGATTTATTTAGTGCAAAAAAATAGATTCAGTAGTGTGACAGCTGGTTTTGTGACATTTTAAGGAAATAGATACAGTAAATATTCTGGATAAATTCAGTACAATAAATAAGTACAGTACTACTATTAGTCATGTAATATATACAGGAATTACATGACTAATAGTCAGTGGTCAGTGGGTGACTGAAGTGTACATTATCTGCCTCCTGCCTGGCCAGGGGCAATTTCAGTACACATCACTGTGCACAGCACATGTGATCATGACAAATACCATCCACATCAGGTCACAGGTTCAGCCTTCCATGGAATTCAGTAGTGTTGCACTTGAACCCTTGATCTAACCCCTAAATTTCATGTCCCACAGGCTCTTCTTCCAAACTTCCCCTGAGGACTCCTTTCCCCCCCAAACTCTTGTCCTGTGCCCCCTCCAAGTTCTCCTTCCTCATTCCCCCACCAAGCCCTTGTTCCAACTTGCAACCTCTCTTTTCAACCCTTACTGCCTCTCATTTCCTCCCAGACCCCCATAACCAGTCATCTTCATCCCCACACCTCATTTCCAATCCTCCCAAACTTTAGTTTCTGGGTCCTCTCATTTCTATCACCTCCTGTTTCTGTCCCTACTGCCTCTTGGCTTCCTGAAGATACTCTTATTCCCACCCCCAAGCAAGGTATTTATATAACGTACCCCTCATAATCCTGGAGGCCATAGCCACTGTTGTCATATTATAGTCATGGACATCACATCCTCATGAAACATTGGGCTACCAATGAACATTCAAGCTTAAGGTTGGTGGGAACTCTAGGGCAGGATTATCAATTTGCATCTGCTATATCATACTTCCTCACAGCCTCTTCCCAGAGTTTGAGCACCCATCGAACTGCCTTAACCAGAAAGTGTCAAGCATGCCATGGGCAGTTTGATGGAGATTACTGGGCCTTAAGTTTATGGTGCTAACTGCCCCCATATCAAGACAAAAAAGATGAGTGAATCTATCCTTTATTTCAATGCTTCCTGAATGCTTAGTAGAGTCAGGATGACAATTCGACAGTCCCATTTGATCTGGCTCTCAGTGGTAAAAATGATCCATCAGAATATCTCATGCATGGCACACATCCACCATCTCTGCCTCACTCATTGTGTCTTTCGCCTAGCCTCTGATGACACTGAGTGCTTTGGATGTGGTGATGATGCTGCTGCCTGCATATGATATATGGTGCTTGTGATTATGCTACTGCTGCAATGCTTTTCAAATGCACCTGCGCAGGTCATGAAGAGCATTGATGGGTGGTTTCATACGCAGGCTATGGATAAGGGTGTCATAGCTGTTGCGGTGGACTACATATCTGCATGAGTACCTTCCAATGTGTGCAGTTGTGCCTGCTGCTGCTTGTGCAGGGGCCTGATCCATGGATGCTTTTTAAGGACAGACAAGATTCAGCACTCACACACAGACAAAAGATGTGACATACAAGCAGAAAAGCAACACACTGGTCTGGAACATGACACACTGATGCCAAGAGTGTGCTTTGGTGTGTCTTAGGTGTGTTGCTCTTTGTCTGCTGCACCTGAGGCCATGTGGTAACTCTTCTCACAGTTGAACTCACTAAGTCCATGATCTACTGTACTCAACTGCAACTTCAAAAACTGAAAGTTCTTTTTTAAAAACTTTTTCCATGCTCAAATAAATCTTCAAAGTAAATTTTTGATTCTGTAAATGACAATGATTACATACTTAATGATACTACATATATTAAGAGAGGGAGGGAGCAACACTGAAAGGAGTGGTGGGGCTCTGGGTCATAGTTCAAGAGTGTAGGAGATGAGGACAGTGGTGGGATCCTGCCATACTTGTCCTGGGCACAACAGGCTTGTGGGAGGGCAGGCAGGATGAGGACGGTGGTGGGATCTCGCCATTTGCCCTGGGTACAAATGAGCTTGAGGAGGGGGCTCGCTGCCATCCTGTTTGTTGCATTAATCTTGCCATCCGGCTATGCCCCAACATTTTTTTAATCTCTCAGCGTTTGGAATGCAAGATGGTAGAGCTGCTGTACGTGCATGTCCGAGGTGGCAGTATGTGCTGTACATATATTCATCTGGAAGTCTTCACGGAAACATTATATTGACCAGCCATTGCATGGTAGAAATTCAATGCTGTCTTTCCACACCACCATTATCATCTATCATTATGTGACCTTGTCTTCAAAGACGCCACTCCTTGAGAGTGATCTTGTTGACCACACCCGCCACACTCTCACTTCGGCCTTGTGACCCATGCAAAGATGTCTGAATGACGTTTCAGGTACCTCGCATTTGGGCAAACTTCTGTTAATCCATAAACATAGTCTTTTCCATCAACCTGAAATCACGTTCAACTTGATATGTCAGGCCTGGTACATACGCAGCAGAGTTTTGCTTGTGCAGCACACTTTCGTCCAGGGTTATAGCTAGACACTGCTTAACCAGACAGAGCATCAGTCAAAGCCACCGAAATCGGAGGGTCTGGTGATCGTCACTGAGAGGGAGCGCAACGACGAAATAAGGTTGCAGAAGGATGATGAGTCCATGAGTGGCTCCCATCTGAAGGCAGCTACCAAGTGATGTAATCACGGGGCGGTCAGGCAAGACATGAATTGAAACATGTCCTCGTTCCTTCCCGAGATTTCCAACTTCTCCAGCTCTCCAAGAACATGG